TCCTGCCTTTTCCCCATTGGCGTGCACACCATTTCTGTCCAAAAAAATCATCCAATACTCTCTTGAATGCTTCGATTAATCCACTTTATTTCTAGGTTGCCTAGTCCATACGCTAACTACTTGCTGTGTGAAAAAGTTTTCTTTCGCTCACATCATCCTTGCTTTGTTTGAACATCATTTTAAATCTGTGCTTTCTCATTCTTTTTTTCTTTTAGATGTTTTCACTCAATCCATTGTGTTCAGCCCGCTCATAAACCTGAATCAATTTTCCTCTCAGTCTTCCTCTCTCGAAGGAGAACAGTCCCGATTTTTTTGATCTATCCTCATGACTGAAATTTCTCATTCCTGGAAACATTTTCGTAAATCACTCGGCGCTCTCTCCTTAATAGATCTACATTATCATTACAGTTATCTTAAATGCAACTTAAAGTTCGTTACCGTCACTGTCATCTGTGATATTTTTGTACAATGATAAACTCCCCGCCCATAACCTCCTAGCTATTGGTTACCCGCAACGTCCGTCCGCAAAGCCAATACCTTCCGAACCAATTGAAAAGTGAACAGATTCTTGATGACCTGTCAGTCACACAACCGTTTTCCCTGTTGCTGACATTCTTAAAGAGATCAGAAAGTGTTCGAAACTCATATACTTTTTGAGTGCATTTGTGTATTTTTTTTTCTCCTGGTTTGCTCACGCCAGAGTTCTGAAGATTATTCTCCCTATCCTGGAGCTTCCAGAACATCCGGGAGGGTTGGTAATTCTAGCTGCAGTGTCCCTTTAAATATCTTCACTGCAGACTGTTTCTATTACTGTTGTACCGTTTACTCCGGAAGTAAGTTTCCCATCCTTTCAGCATTTTCACTCTGACTGCGATGTGATGCAGTTTCAGCGAAGGTTACATTTATTCAGGGCAGAACTGATAGCTGTGTCCTGACAGAAAGTGAACACACACTCAATTTCTGCCGGCCACGTGGATAAATTTAAGAAGTAGTACAGTGGAATTTCAGGAAATGCGAGGCAATTGCAGAATTTAACTGGGGAGTTGAACTTGTTGAGTATCCGGGCCAGAGCACAGGGTGATTTGATTTACAGAAGTTTGTACTCTGCAACATATATTAAAGTGGATAATGATATTCAATGATTCAAGGAAGGAGGCCTTTGAACCTGATGTGGCATTGGGAAAATGCTGGAATTCTACTCAGGATGGTGTAGTGCCTTCTTAGTGCCAGGGTCAAGAATGTCTCTGAGGGGACGCAGGACGTTCTCAAAAGCGAGAGCGGGCGGCGAGAGTGTGTGGTACACATTGATACAAATGACACAGGCAGAAAGAGTGATGAAGTCCTGCAAAGGGAGTTCAGAGAGTTAGACAGTAAGTTGAAAAGCAGGACCTTTAGCGTTGTAATCTTGGGGTTACTCCCTGTACGACATGCCAGTGAGGCTAGGAATAGGAAGATAGCACATTTAAATATGTGGCTAAGGAGCTGGTGTGTGTGGGGGAGGGTGTGGCTTCATATGTTTGGATCATTGGGGGCAGTTTGGACTTGTACAAGATGGGTAGATTGTACTTAAACTGGAGAGCACGATTATGCTGGCAGGGAGGTTCGTTAGTGCCACTCATGAGGTTTTAAACCAACGTGGCATGATTTTGGGAACTAGAGCCGTGGTTCAGCAAGTGAAAGGACTGAGGAGCAATTAGAGGCTAAGGCCAGTAAGGCCAAGAGGAAAGACAGACAGCAAGAGGTTACTGAACATGCAAGGACTGGAGGACTGAGATAGAGTCACAGACTAATACGGCATGGAAACAGGGTCTTCAGCCTAAACTGGTCAATGCTGACCATCTTGCCCACTCCGCTAATTCCAATTGCCCACATTTAGTCCATATCCCCTCAAACCCTCTTCATCCATGTACCTATCCAAATGTTTTTTAAATGTTGCTATTGTATATGCCTCAACCACTTTCTCCCGCAGCCCATTCTATATATGCGCCACTCTCTGTGTGAAGAAGTTACCCCCCAGATCCTTCTTAAATCTATCCCCTCTAACCTTAAACCTATGCCCTCTAATTTTCAATTCGCTTTCCCTGGGAATAAAAAAGGCTATATGCATTAGAATTAAAGGCTATATGCAAAAAAAGGCATATGCATCGGCGCCGCCTCATGCTCCCACGAGGAGCTCGAACAGTTTGTCCACTTCACCAACACCTTCCACCCCAACCTTAAGTTCACCTGGACCATCTCTGATACCTCTCTCTCCTTCCTGGACCTTTCTGTTTCCATCTCTGGCAACCACCTGGAAACCGATATCCATTTCAAGCCCACCGACTCCCACAGCTGCCTAGAATACACCTCCTCCCACCCACCTTCCTGCAAAAAGGCCATCCCTTATTCCCAATTCCTTTGCCTCCCCCGCATCTGCTCCCAGGATGAGGCATTCCACTCCCGAACATCTCAGATATCCTCGTTTTTCAAGAACCGCAACTTCCCCTCCACAGTGGTTGAGAACGCCCTCGACCGTATCTCCCGCATTTCCCGCAACTCATCCCTCACACCCCCAACCCGCAATAACAACCAAAACAGAATCCCCCTCATCCTCACGTACCACCCCACCAACCTCCGGATCCAACGCAACATCCTCCGACACTTCCGCCATCTGCAATCCAACCCCACCACCAAAGACATTTTTCCCTCCCCACCCTTATCTGCTTTCCGGAGGGACCACTCTCTCTGTGACTCCCTTGTCCGCTCCACACTCCCCTCCAGCCCCACCACACCCGGCACTTTTCCCTGCAACTGCAGGAAGTGCTACACCTGCCCCTACACCTCCTCCCTCACCCCCATCCCAGGTCCCAAGAAGACCTTCCACATCAAGCAGATGTTCACCTGCACGTCTGCTAATGTGGTATACTGTATCCGCTCTTCCAGATGTGGCCTCCTCTACATCGGGGAAACCAAGCGGAAGCTTGGGGACTGCTTTGCGGAACCCCTACGCTCGGTTCGCACTAAACAACTGCACCTCCCAGTCGCGAACCATTTCAACTCCCCCTCCCATTCTTTAGACGACATGTCCATCCTGGGCCTCCTGCAGTGCCACAACGATGCCACCCGAAGGTTGCAGGAACAGCACCTCATATTTCGCTTGGCAATCCTGCAGCCCAATGGTATCAATGTGGACTTCACAAGCTTCAAAATCTTCCCTCCCGCTACTGCATCCCAAAACCAGCCCAGCTTATCCCCGCCTCCCTAACCTGTCCTTCCTCCCACCTATCCCCTCCTCCCACCTCAAGCCCCACCTCCATCTCCTACCTACTAGCCTCATCCCGCCCCCTTGACCTGTCCGTCCTCCCTGGACTGACCTATCTCCCCCCTAACTCCCCACCTACA